ATTGTAGCACAATATAAATTTGCATATATCACAAATGATCATCACATTTCTGATATAATCGAATTTCTATTATGCTTCATCAAGCATAGTGGAAATTCTATTTATGTCACAATTTGATGATCACTGTGATAAATTTAATTTATGTTGTATGACGTAAATTCATAATTGTTTAAAGTACTCAAAATACGTCAGGTGTTGTTATGGGTAACACCATTCATTAAACAACTATTTTTTAAAAAAATTATGCAGTTATTATCTTTTCCTTACGCACTTTCATTTAAAGATTTGGCTTTGGCCACTGCAATTTGACGACTTGTAAAGTAGTTTAATGGGGAAATGCATATAAGAACAAGATTTTTTTTCTCATCCTGGGATATGTTTGGATGCAAATCAATCTAAAGGTTACATATGAAGCAAAAAATGTATAATTTTTAGTCAAATAAATTGAATTCAATATAAATATATAAGGTACATAGATAAAATTTATTATAAAATATATGAATGATATGATATATATAAGAACAAGCAACATATATGAAATATGAATATAAAAACTAAGAATGTTTTCCATTCATTTACTAATTCATTCCTTCTTTTTCAATCTATTTTCTTTTGTTCCAACTTTAAGATCAAAATTACAACCTTCGTAGAGAATAAATTACTGTTATTAAAGTTAGTTTATTTCACTATTTTTTATTATTAATATACATATATATATCTTTTTTTAAAAATTATAAGAAAAGCACATTAATATATATATATATCTCTTTTTTTTAAAGAAAATAAAAGTTGTATATACCTTACTCTTTCATTAAAGAAATGTATAAAAGTGTAGGAAAAGATACACGCATATTAGTGATATTTGAAGGTATTAGGACCACACTCCATGAAAATGCATAAAAGGTTCAAATTACATATAGAGCATATAACATTAACTCTTCCAGAACTTTCTTATTGATATGGATCTTTACATTGGCTTTTATTTGACTACGTATGTATGTTTACTTTATTTAGTGCATTATTGAAAATTTATTATTTAACATTTGTTTATTTTATGGAAGGTTTGTTATAGAGAGTGTGAACTGTAGCTAAGGTTGCGGGAGAAACTTCTCCAGAAATCAATCGACAGAGTTTTGACAGGTTACACATTAATTGTTTATTAGAGTTTCGGCAGAGTTTCGCATTTGGGGTTTTCGCCAATCATCAGAGTTTCGACAGGTTACACATTAATTGTTCATTAGAGTTTCGACAGAGTTTCAACAGTCATTAAGAGGTTTCGCCCACAACCTTAACTGTAGCAAGTGAGAAACTATTAATAAGAATCCATCTACTTTTTATTTGTGTTTACTAAGGTTATAAGGAGAAATTAATTATTATTATATAAAAAGTGAAGTTTGTTATATATAGAGATTTACTTAATGTTCGTTATAGCTGTATATACAAATATGCATATTTTATTTCTTCAATAAGTATTATATTAATATAAAGCTTTACTATTATGTATCAAAGGATGTAAGATCACAAAATTTAAATAAATAAATTTGAATACATATGTTTGTACATCATGCAAAAAAGAAAAACTCTTTAATTTAAAGTTATATTCAAACGAATTTTATTATGTATGTAACACTACTAAAATGTAAATGTGACAATTGCAAAAATAGAATTTCCACTATGCTTATTCATCACTTTCAAAATTTTTGTTATTTTTTCTGTGAAACATTTTGATCTTTGTGTGACTTAGAGTCAACTCGAGTCAACTTGAAATGCTCAATGAGCTGAGTAGGGTTGTGTTGGTCTTTAAAAGACCAGTCCCTTTGAACCACAGTCCTAAATTTAGGACCGGTCTTGGACGGTCTTTATAAGACCAGCTGATCTTTCTTAATAAGGAATTTTTGAACAATAAAATTTTTATGTTATCTTTTTTTTTGAGTTTTTTATTTTATTCGTTATTATTATGTTTTATTGAAGGCCAAACTTTATGCAATTATAGTTTCTTCTAGAGTCAATGTTAATTTCCAGATTAAAAAAATATCTATCTTTATTCGAGAGAAAAGATAGAAATTGATTGTATTTTAATTATCACCTTTAGATCCAAATAATTTTTACAGATTTAACAAATTAATGAGACAAAAGATAAAAAGAAACTGTCCTTTTGAAAATGTAGATTCTTTTGATATATAAAGATTTGGCAATTATCTATATAATCTATGATTAAAAAATAACTTATTATCATCCCGTGTAACAAAATTCGAAAACTTTAGTCAATATGCGTAATTGCGGTCAGTGTTCCCATTCTTGTAGATCACCAAACATAGATTACAATTACTATATACGGATTTTTTCAAAATAAATTTTAATAATAATAACAAGAATTTAGGAAAAATAGCAAGTAAAAGTTACACGCCAATTTTTCGTTTTTTATAATATATTAATAAAACAAATACAGTCAAAGCCTCGTTTCAACGAATCTTGTTTCAACGAATTTTATATTAATATATATATTGTGTTACAACGATAACGATTTTTTTGTATAATAATAAGTATTAATCGCGTTACAACGAATTCACAATGTGTGTTAATATGATTTTCCCAGATTTTCCAAATTAAAAAAAATACACTACTAATAGTTTTACACAATAACAAAAAATCCGCATTATTAAAAAAAAACCACTTTACTAAATAACAAGTATTTGAATGTTGAACTTGAATGAGCCAGTGAGCTTGTACATATCAAATCACACAAAAAAGGACTCTTTTTACTATATAGAACATTCTAAAGCAGTTTTTACAAATTTGGAATATTAATACTGAACAAAAAAAAAAAAATAATCACAATTAAAAATTTTAATTCAATTTATTTAGTCCATCACTGTTGATTTTTCTTAATCTTTTGTATTCATTTACAGCATCTTTTGAACATTTAACCTGAGAATAATCAAATTTTAAGATCTGAAGCTTGTCCAGCAAAAGCAGATAAACTTAAAATAAAATAAAATAAAAAAAGGAATAAATTCATGTGTCCCAAATGTTTCTAATTAGTACTAAAAGATTTACTAATTCCTAAAACAACTAAATCTGTTTGATATGTTGTA